AACTTATTCATTAACACTTCTATTATATGAACCTGCAAACACAGCAAGGGCATACTATAAACAAATAGAAGTATTACATTCGAAATGAATAAAAAGACAGCCTGCATCGGTAAATAGATTTATACATATTATTATAAGTATCCCTATTCCACCTATGACGACTGAAGTTGCTCTTATCACCGCACAGTTTCATTTCCATCATCAAACCTTATCAAACCCCTCGTCACATTCTCGTTGGAAGTAACCGGAGCAAAATATTGCCGCACGATGCATTACCGCACCATCGAGCTGGACCAACATCGATTAATGTTTACTGTTACCTAGCAACTTTCAACGACTGACGGTGGCAAAGAAATTGAATCCCGCGGCACAGAAACGTGCTCCCGAGGTCGAAGTCGGGTCCCTCTCGTTCCTGGTCGATTCCAGCCAGCATCCTGGAAGCGACGATTCGACACGGCGGTAGGGGTAGCGCGTTGCGCTCCGCGCTCGCCAGGATGTGCAGGCGCATGCACAATTTATAATGCAATTAGAGCCTCGGATGGTAGCGCTCGGATTTATGGCAGCTGGAGAATCTACCGTCCGTGGAGGAGAACCAACGAAGGAAGCGCCGAAGAGAGCAGGAGAAGAAACGAGATAGAGGAGAGGCTGCTGAGGCCAACGCGAGGGCTATATTCTCGCGGGAATGAGTTATATGCCTCCCGCGGTTCCGATACATTATTTATCGCTCGGCTTTTCATTATTTCTGCGTCGTGAGCGCCGCTGATTTAGCCACGAAACGCGGTTTCCGGCGGCGCGCGTCCGACATTGAATTTTCAGACTGAAATTCTAATCTGGAGCAGCGACGGGCAACCTCCTTCGCAGCGGTGCGGTGTTTTGATGAATTGATTTTACTCGTCGTACTCTATTTTCAGAAGTACGGTATTATGCTGTTACGAAGTACCTAACAACATACTTACACAAACGCTACAATAATCATTGTGTCTACGCGAATGAACAATCACGAACGTGATATAGAATAGGAATACAGTGAAGTCTCCACAAATGCACAAATATCTCTACCATAAATGCACTGAAACCATCCCCACCACTGGGGGGTATTCCATAACGAGCATTCATTCGAATGCTCATTCACGAAACAATTCATTCGAGACATTCGAGACAATCGTGAGAAATTTAAATATTAATATCTGTGGTATTAATGTTTCGTAAATTCTTTTGTGGATGGATCCAACGAGCCTTCGAATCGATCTGTCACGACATGTCACGCGGTTGTTGTTCGCCCTTCCCCTTCTCTACGTCGATAACGAACCGCGACCCTCGACACAGGTATACCAAGGGTGAGAGATCATGCTTCATTGATCCTTCGTTCGATATGGATCTCGCGATCGCGCGTCCACGTATGTAAAGTGCAAAGTGCAAAGTGTAAGGTGAGATTAGATTTAGATTAGCGAAGACAACACCGAGGAGACGTGTGGTTATAATTAGTTTTCAGAAAAATTCATTTTTATCGATTATCTATTAACATTAATAGATTTTCATTGCAAAACGTTAGTCAATTATCACGATGTATTTTAATAAAAATTGAATTCCTTTTTCCCGATAGAATATTACACAACTCTCATAAATAATCTCAAACGCGTACCAAGAAAACTCAGACTCTAAACGCAATAAACCTTCACTGGATCTATAATTCAATCGTATCTTCCACAAACAAAACCTATCGCAGTGGCCTATATTCTCACTGAACGCAAAACCGATTCATCACGGCAGCAGAATTTACCAGGGAAACCTTGTATCGCGTAAACGTCAACCATGCCAAAAGAAGCGTTTCTAACAACGATCGCGTTCTTCCTTCGGTGATGCATGCTAACGGTACCGAACCTATAAAACACTTTGCTCGAAACGAGCTGTGCTTCGAGAAGCAACAACCGAGGACCGCTCCCACAATTGACAGAGCAATTCGGATTTAAATCGCCGCTAATGACACGCGAATCTATCTCAGTGGATCATCGCCAGCTCCTTATTAGGAAGGCCAACGCGGCGATGGTGCTCTTCGCGGGCGCAGAAGAAAAGAGTACCTAGGAATGAAATTACCCAGAGGTGAGCAGAGATGTCTATGATGTCATCCGGCGCAAAACGAGCGCGCTGTAATGATCGACGATCATCCTGGAATAACCAATCCCGAGACAATCTACGTATTCCCGGTACTTCGGTGACAGGGATTAAACGAAGTCCTTGGAGAGCATGGTTTCACCTCTTTGACATTTCAGTCGCTTTCCACGAGAATGGTTAAGGGTGGGGGTGGGGGAAACTGCGTTAGGAGGGGAATTACATTAATTTACAGCCAAAATGTACATTCAATTGTTAATAAATTATGCAAAAATGGGTATGGAATATATATTGTTATTCTATTTGATTTGACAAAATGAACAAATTTGTACATTTAATTTCAATTTTAATTTCAACAGATGTAAATATGTCGCTAAAAATTCATTTTTTACATTGTCACTTGGATTCTTTCCTGGAGAATGGGGGAATTTTCGTTAACATCCTGTATGTGGTATAAAAGAGAAATAAACAAATAATCAATTTGAACGTTACTATATAAAAAGAATTTACATATTCAATACCACGTTGAAATATTACAATAATACAAAGTACCATTAATTTCTCATTCAATTCGATATAAAAGGTAACCTTTAACATAATTCAATGTTAAAAAAAATAATAATTCTCGAATGTTCGAGTCCCAATTGAAGTCGCCTGTTAATCCTCGAAAGCTCGCGCGATTTTTGCAGTTTATTATTATTCTCACGATCCCACCGTTTCCACAGCGAGGAGATGAAGAAAATTCTCCGTATCGATGCACGGTGGAACTTATCGCGCAAAGCATAGCCGGCAGGCGATAAACAAACCTGAAACGATTTTTAACGCGTTGCCAACCGGTTCGGAGTAGACGTACAATCTTCCCCATTACCGGTGGCAGTGGCAGTATCGGCTCCAAACAGAACCAAATTAACGTCTTAATTAGAGAATCCTCCTTGCATTGAGAAACGGGCAATCAAACCGGAAACCGAGGAGGGTAACCGAAGGTCTTCCCCCGGCAGTGTTCGGAGCTTACGAGGGTATCGGTTGGCGAGTGGAAACGAAGCTGGGGGGATCTCGACGTCAATCACGATTACGGGATGAGTTTTCAGCGCGCGTCTCATTAGCCCACGCCCTCATTATTACGTTATCAACGTCCCCGGGTTCGCATAATGGCCTCTGAATATATTTATGAGGGTAATCCCCGCGGCCGTTCGCGGCCATACGAAAGCCAGCGCCGAAGCCGCTTCGGACCGTAACAATAATCCTTATATCCCCCACATAATTGTGCCCGCGGAGGATTTATAGAGCTGGTCCCGGGCACCGATCCTATCTAACGATCTGGCCATTGAGTAGGCAGCCTAGGAACTTGCAACGGGCGACGCGGCTCGCCTCGGGAATGGGATTCATTCAAAACCGCGAGAGGAGCACGAAAGTCGCCTCCTTTGCGTTCGGGTCATCTAGATCCGTGCGTTCTTTCGGTCGTGTTTCTGCCTGATTGGTTTATCGACCTTTCGAGAAACACTCGGGTAATTCCGTGGACCCGGGGCAATTTGGTTGTTCGCCGGTTTATCTGATCCGCGATGATAAATCAGGGATTGAACTCTTAGGACCGTTTCGCTCTGTTGCTCTTTTTCACCTTTCGGCCTCACGGTGGATTAAAACTAACGTCTTTTTAGGCATTCCTTTATGCTGGATGTGTAACGAAATTCTATGGGTAAATACTACTTCGTAAATAATGCTGTTTTTTTCATTATTAAATGGAAATAATAGTGCGTGGTGAAGTATCGTATTGATATTACGTTTATGGAGATTTCTTATCAGATTTCTGTTACGTTGATTTACAGAAATTAATTAGGAGGCTTGGACAAAAAAGAATTTGAAATCCTTTCCTTGCCACTACTATATCTAAATATATATTCAAATTAAATCTACGATGTCAAATTTTTTTCCGCGAAGGTTCCTTTATTTGTAAGAAAAGTTTCAATGATAAAATTAAATTATATTTTGAGATCATACGCATTAGAAAAATACCTCAGCTGGACCAGACTCCCTCCCCCTCCCTTAATGCCATAGCAAAAATATAAACAATTGCAGCCATCCAACAGCTTCGAATCGTAACGGATCAGCCGATATCCGTTTCCCCTCGTCGCGTATCAATCCATCCAACCTTTCCTTCCTCGTCCCTGTTTACGATACTCAAGATCTCTTCATTCCTCCCTTCCCGATTCGTTTCCAGCAAGGACGTCACCAGAAGGCGAGCCCCAACGACTTGAAAAAGGTCTTCAGGATGGGGACATCCGTTTCGCTCGGTAGAACCGGCGCACTATAACGTTCTGCTTATGTGCATCCTCGCCTCTAATTACCTGGGATGAAGACATCACCAAGAGTCTCACTGATTCTCTCGTGAATCCTCGCTCGACTACCAGGGAGAACGAATCGTTTCGTGGTTTTATATTTCGTCGATTATTTATTATCGTTACGAGCGGCAGTCATCATTCTTCTGCTTATAGCATAGGCGGGCTCGTTACTTCTAATGGGGCCGTGTGCGCACCTCCTTCCAACGGAGATTAGGACATTACGCAGAGTCTTTGTGGAATTCCGGTGGATCTAAACTTTATTGTCAATCTACTGCGTTAATTGGATTTAAATGGAGCGATGGTTTGCGTATTTTGTGTATTAAATATTGATATAGTTTAAAACAAACTCTTTGGAACGATAGAACCAACCCTTAGTTCACTATCATTTAGACACTATACAAGAACCTTCTAATAAATTTAATTCACTTTGTAAGGGATGTAGGTTCGCAGGAAGGAATTTGGAAACAGGTTCTAAGGGGAAAAAGGAAATGGTTTATTTATTAACTGTGATAACGAATTACGAACACGGAAGATGATACTTTTTCGATGACTCACCATTATGAAGTCTGCTTTTGGAGGTGCGTAGGTGCTCGATAATGGAGGTGAGGGGTCTGCGGCCACTGCCGCTGCCACCCCCACAGCTCCAAGGGGAGTCACGCTCCGAGCCGTCCGCCAGGTTGTCACAGTCCTATAAAGCAAAACGATGAAAACGGAAATTAGATGGAGACACGAGGTAAGCAAGGATGACGGAGAGACTCCGGTTCCGCCATTTCCCACGCTTCACCGCGATACTGTGAATTGCGGTGTCCTCGTACTCGACGAGCACGGCGATTTAGGTAAACGCAATGAGATTCTCATTGACTACGGTAATGAGGGTAAAATGGAGCACGGCGGTGGACGGGGCAGTGGTATTTCGAAAAGGAATCGAATCGAAACGTCGTAATTTTTATCTAGGAATTCGTTGAATTTAGATTCGAGATCCAGCACTTGATTAGGAGAATTTAGAAATACAGTTTATTTGGTATCAATGAATAACATAAATGGTCTACAAGAGTACAAATTTATTTGATGATAAGAAGACTCGTTTATGTGGAATTACTTTTGAAAGTAATTTAATCTCTTCAGGGACGATTTTTCTTCATGGTTTTCTCATATTTCTAACTGTACATTGGAAATAACATCATCAGTGCAGCCAAACCATAAAATTTGTACGCCTTTTGTTGAGAGATTCTGTACTGAATAAGTTGGTATCGAATTTTTGTTCTTTTTATTATTGACAGTAATTATAACTATAGAAACCTAAACGTTCACATATCTGGCCAACTTGCACCCGCATTTTTTATCTGCGTTTCCATTACCAATTATTCCAATGTGTGATGGTATCCAAACGAAGGTTTAATATTTTTTTCAGTACGTATGGCTATCAATTCAGCATGTATATCTTGAATGTATGTATATCTAGCTTCGCATTGGTCTCGAATTCCTATGCCTACGCGAAGAATACGGGGTGCGCACATCCGACTCCAAAGAAGGAAATTTAAAACGGTAACGTAAGACTACATATATCTTCTATTGCTAATAGTACTGCTTTTGAATCAGAAAATATTACAAACTGGTTATTTACTGTTGTTTTTAGGAATTTTATGGCTCGTAAAATTGCATAGTCTTCACATGTGAAGATTGTTATTCCCATAGGTAATTTAAAAGTGATTGTTTGATTATTTATTACAAGTGCACATCCAATTATTTTATTTATTATGGAACCGTCCGTGTATATACGCGTTTGTTGGTTATATTTATGAGCAATTGCGAAAATCTACTCTGACACACTATTCAGAGTGTTACTTGCTTGTTTAGGGTTGCTACTTCTAGATTAACTTTTGGTTTTTTAAAATGCCATGGAAGTATTGTAGATAAAACTCGTTGTGCTATCTATGGCATTTGTATTTGCCAGTCTTCTGCGTATTTATTCAACCTCTTTGCACCTTCAAGGAGTTTTTCCCAAGATTTTCGTGTTTCACAACGACCACGGAAAAAACCTTGTGAAATCTATCGTAGCATACGACCTTTTCTCAAACTTTAAATTTTCCCCTGACAGTTCCCTGCCATGTCACACACACACACACACACACGCGCGACCCTTAAATCATCCCGGAACCACCATTCGGACGCGAACAAAGCTTGTTACCATGAACCAGCAATTTTTACAGCACAGAGATCCAGGAACCACACGGCCGGAATCATATTTATGACGGAAAAGAGTCCCATAAAACAGCCAACAGGTTACGCCTCCTAGAGGTCAGGCTAATCTTAAATCTCCCCAAACCGTTTACGCGTCGGATCACCATAAAAATGCAGTTACAAAGCCACGAGCCCCCGGAGGCCTGGAGGTTGTTACCGTCGGTTCCCGTCGCGGGGGGAAAACAAATTTAATCAAACCCCGAACCGTTAATCCCGCTAAATCACATTTCTCTTCGCCCTTTGTCCCTGCCCACCCCGCGGCGCGGCACCGACGGAAACGAACGTCAATGTTCTACAGGCCGGGTACACGGGAATTTTATTCAGCTTTCCTCGGCAGAGCGTAGAGGCAAGTACTCTTGTTGTCGTACACGCTCGTCGGAGCGCGCTCGATCCGCTCCGGACTTATGGTTAGGTCGGCTTACAACCGGATCGGATCGATTCCCCATGACACGTACGGCGGTGTCGCTCGTGCATTATTGAGCCCTGTCTCGATCCCTTCGGGCAGCCTCGACGGATCCAGTGGCGCGCTGTGTCTTCAAGGGCCCGGGATAATCGTCAGAAATTTAGCAAGTCGCATCCAAAACAGGGTTAAAGGGTTAATGGGTTACATGGGTTTTCGGGGACCAAAAAGAGAGCACGTTTTCTAGAAATTCTTTTGAACGAATTAAGTGAATTATATTATTTTAAGTTGTGTTGTACGAGAGGGGAATATTTGAACAATATTTTAATACATTTTTTGCAATAACATAAATAAAAGAGAATATTCAATATTTTACATTAAATATCTTGTGATGATTTATAGATTAGGTAACGATATATACATATGAAAAAATATAGTTTCAGAATTCGTTTAGAAACAGAAAAATATGAAATTAAAAATTGCACAAAAAGTTCGTAAAATTGTATTTATTATTGATACCAAAATTATATACCCTATTATTATGTACCCTAAAATTATACACCCTATTTCTCATCGAAACTGCAACCTTTACAATAACATAAATAAAAGAGAATATTAAATACATTAAAATCTCGCAACCCCAAGATTTCACTACTGCGACCCCATTCGGTATCGAGACCCGTAGCTAAGAAACCCTGTTCTATACGAAAAACAGAATTCCTGAGACATTAATACTGGCTGTCCCGTTCAATCAGAGCCTCAAAGGCGAACGTCTTGTTCGCGCATAGGATAATACACCAATGTGGTCCCAAGTTTAGAATTGCCGCGTATCGTAATACCCAGCGACGACGAAGCTCGGGCGGGACCGTTACCGAGAAGTCGTTAAGCCCCATCGTTAAGTCGATTATCCGCAGCCCTTGACAACGTGTATCCCGGCATCGAGTTTCCTCGTGGGCCCCATGGCCCCGAGTTTATCGGGCCTGGCAACGTGTCATGCCGGTGAGCGTTATCCTGGATCCCGCCAACGGTCGCCCCGTAGATCCAGTTTTATCGATCGTATTACGATAAGGCGCGTTTTCGTCGCCGCGAACGACCAGTTTTCACCGCCCGGTTCCGCGGCGGTAATCCGCGCGCAGGTCCGCGACGCATGCGCCGTGAATTTATGGGAGTCCCCGGTACCAGGGGAATTTGTCGATCGGTAACGTACGACGCTATAGGGAAAAAAGTACACGATCGGCGCGGTGGGACCGCGCACGATGATTCATGGCGGTGTTCGTCGCGCTGAGACTCGTTTTAATGCGTCATTAGTCGAATGTAAGAGACGCACTTTTTAATCGGCGTCGTGGCATAAAGGGACGAGGAGGCTGTCGCGGGTCTTTCTTTTCTTGCTGGGATAGACTTCGAAACCGACGCTTTCCTTTTTTGGGGGGATTAGCGAATGGGGCACATCTAGGGCGGCGTTTCTTAAGTATTGGGTATGGAGAGTAGAGAGTGTTGGATTTTCTCTTCTTAAAAGAGAAAGTTTTGGTTCCAGAAATCCGTTCTCATCCACGAATGGAGAAATGAAGAGACTTTTCATGAACCCTTTGACTGTGAAGTGCGTATGCTATATACGCCCTCGAGAAATGGACTCAGAGAAATGTTTATATTCGTTGAATCAATTTTTAAAAAATAGCAGATTGTAGGGGATGATAAAATGAAACTTTTTTATATTTACACTTTATTCATAGGACGCTTAGTTTCGAAAATAAAAATTGAAAAGGAAAGGATTGGAAAGGAAGTTCCTTGGAAAAATTAAATTTCAGAAAAGCGGTCTCCTAAGTTTTCAATTTTTATCTCTGAAACTAAACGTCGTATGAATAAACTGTACATATAAAAAAAGTTTCGTTTTTTCATTATCCAGAAGGTGACAAATCGTCCCGTGGTTAAGGAACAATAAAAATTGTAAATAAATCCGAATAGGATTAGCAAATTTGTCAGAGTTATGAAATTAATAAATGTTAAATTACCTAATCTTCGATACTCTCGAAACACAATTTCAATTTTGTTGATATTTTCGCGAGTTTTAGTCTGGTAGCCAACGGATTACACAGTACAATATATTAATATAATTATGTATTTAAATTATGTATTGTAAAACAGATTTCGTAACGAGTGACAACCTCAAATTGAAAACATTTTTTCCGCTTCACCTAGCTGAAAGGAGTTATCATATGAAAATTAATCGCTCGGTAACAAGTACATTGGTTAATACGAAGTAGTTACTTCCGTACCTGCACAGACTGACAGCTGTCCGACGCGATATTAACGCATTCCCTGCCATATTATCCAGCGCCATATTCGTAATGTAATTTTCCTTAATGAAGTGCTTGCCTTTAATTATATACGAACAGCCTAAATTAAATAGTCCGGCTGAATATTCTTAACGCGTTGTCATGCGTAATATGACGGAGTAATTGAATTAAAATAGAAACGTTGCGCGATTAGAGTGTCCCAGGAAGTATTAGAGGTTTCGAAACCTCAATTTATCAAACGATAACTGCAACAAAGTAGTATTTCAAGCATAATGGATTTCTGAGGGCGATTGCACTCTGGCATGCTGTGTTGGTTCTCTGGATGCAACAAACTTGGTACACCCACGCTTCGTGTAGCTACTATTGAATCACTTCCTGCTCAAATAGTGAGCCATTTCTCGGAGAAGGTGGTACTAGGAGGAGAGTAAGAGTCGTACGTTGGACTATGGTTTCAAGTACAGAATTATTATATTGCTTTCAAATGGTAGCACTAAAGGAAGAAAATTTTTGTTATTCTCACGAAAGAAAGAGAATTCGTATTGTTCATAGAAAGCTGAGAAAATATGACCTGAGATGAACGAAACAAACCACACATTAAGAAAACACACTTCAGAGTTGAATACCAACGCATAGAATAACTATTTATAGTGCGATGGATTGAATTATAAATATTACATTGAAAAATAAACTTGGACATTTCGATAATAGAGTCTGAAACAGCTTTACATAAAAAAAAAAACCAAACTTCAATAA